ATGATGGAGTGAGGGGCGCTTTATCGCAAAATAAAGGGATTTTAGGTTATTTTTATTAACTACTTGACCTGTCTCTTATACACATCTTGATGTGTATAAGAGACAGGAATAATACCGGAACTCGAAGTGGTTTTTATGGTGTATATGATCGGATACAATGATCAAAGTTCAATTCAATTACCGAATGTGTTTGGGGTTGAATTGCTTACATTTGATACAGAAGATAAATTTAGGAATGGGTGTCCAGATCGTTGTTCTAATTAATGTGCTAATAATTTGCTTTGTTTCTGCATCTATTTCATCAGGTAGGTTGTAGTTGGTGGGCTTGTGACATTCAGAACAATTTTTAATTAATTTTTTTTATTTCTAAGAATTCTTTTAAAATAGAAAGATATGAAAATATAAAAAGTATACCAGTGGAAAATTATTTGCCATGAGCCTAAACAATGTTCATGTTATCTATAAGTCGTACAGTACACACAAAAGCAAGTGTTTCTTGATCAGAATCCGAGTGGGCAACTGGTATTGCGCTCAATTCGCGATTATGGGGTTAAACATGGTTTTATTTTTTAAAAAAACAAGGTTTTATTTTTTTTTTTAAAAACAAGAAAACATCCACAAAATCTAACATGTTATTAAGAAAAGGTGGAGCAAGCAGATATTATGATCGAAACACGCGTACTTAGGATTTCGCCCTCAATAGTGTTTTACTTTGCTGAAGTCATGTCTCAATACCTTAAATTTAAAAGTAACGGTTGAATAGGCCTACGCTATATACAATATTTTTAATGTACAGTATCTTATATTTAATGAATATCTTTAATTTTGTATACAGTCTGTGATAATGGTTTCCAAGAGGGACCGGGAGAACATTGCTACTATTTCAGCAGCTTCACAACATTGTGGGCCAGTGCCCGAAGTGCTTGCCAGAGTGTCGGAAATGGTGATTTGACCATAATTAACGGTGAAGAGGAACTCCAATTTCTTGTAAATCAGACCAATATATTGACAAACACAGATGATGACTTTTGGTGGATAGGTATGTTCAGTTAAATACGTTGCAGACTCATCATCATCATCATCAGCATCATCATCATCATCATCATCATCATCATCATCATCATCATCATCATCATCATCATCATCATCATCGTTGTCATTTTTTTTTCTTCTTTCAACGACTTTTAACTGTACCTGGTCATCGTCATTATATCATCATAATCATATTCTTCGTCATCATCATCATCATCATCATCATCATCATCATCATTGTCATTAGCATCATTATCATCATCAGCTGCTCACATCAACCTGAGAGATTTGAAATGCGTGACTACTCCAGTTAGCTGGGAAAGGGGGACGGGGGCCGCCGGGCCCCTCCGGGGACGAGAGGAAAGGGCCCGGTGGGGGTCCACAGGGGTAGATCCAGAGATGTCAGAAAGGGGAGAGCCGAAAGGGGGCAGAAATCCGCCCTGGTCCGGCGATCTGAGCATTTTAAGCTGTTTTAACAGGGAATGTTTGTTGATATTTTTAATAAAGCCACGTACAATTTGAGTTTCAATGTACATTATGATTAATTTGTGCACCTGGACTATGTACACAAACATTTAATTACTTACACAAACCAAAAATGAATAGGCATACAGATTATTTTTTAGTAACTCGTCAGTGAATTAAGTATTCACGTAAATACTGTCTAATGGCTCAAGTTACTGCATGACTGTTTTATATTTTTAATAAAACCAAATTCTTCTAATTTTTAATACATTTTCCTCTAAATTCATGATAATTCGTTATCACACATAGACCGTGACAAATTTTTGATCACGTAGGCCTATGTATTTCTGCAAAATGCGTGTTTCAACCAAAATCACTTTGAAATGCGTGACCGTAGCGAGACGCACGCGGCATCATCGTACATCATTATCATCATCATTCTAAACGATACTGTAGCTAGATCGGCGGCAGATTGATATAAACGCTTACGCCAGCTTTATTGATATAGCCCTAACAATGACGTAATTTTTATAGGATATTATGACGTTTCCGTGGAAGGAATGTGGAAATGGGTCGATTGTTCTGTGTCGTCAGCCTACCAGAATTCTTTATGGTTATCAGGCCATCCAAAAGAAGATACATTCGATTGTGGGGCAATTAATCAAAATGGCTCACTCATCGACTACCAGTGCGATAAGAATTTGCGTTTTATTTGTGAAATCATACCAAAAGGTACCTATGCTATTAGTTTAAGTTCGTTGTTGTGTTAGTACCTGGTTGATGTAGTTATTATGCAAGTTAAATTATGTTTACTATCATTGTATAACAAATTAAAAATCCATTTCAGCTTTACTCAAACTCCAAAAGGTCCTCTCGAGTTACCCTAATAGGAAAAAGTTCAATCATTAGGCATAGGTTCCAAATGTTTGTAAAGTAATGATAATTCTATATAATACGGATAGGCATGTTATAATATAATTATATTCATACATCTAAGGGTATGAAAACTCTAATTCGTCCTTGATTTGTTATGATCATCGACATAGAAGATGAAGGGATTTTTCTTGTCGTCTTGTTCAAGGAATTTCTTATATAAATGTTAATTATTTTTTTAAGAATTTACTCGAAATGACACTAATGTTCAAAACATAACTGGAGAAGTTCTGTCACCAACTGCTGTTCAAATTATGTGGGATGTGTCACCATACTCGTGCGACATTGTAGGATATAGAATACATTATACAGACAAAAGTTCACAAGATGACGGTAAGTAATATGATGTTATACCATGCTTTCATAACGCATCATCCAAATAAAAGCCTCTAAAGGCCAACTCAGCGTCGTGCGACGCGTCGCGTCGAGTCTTGTGATTTCAATTCTGACGCGATTGGTGTGTGTTGGGGGACAGTCGCGTCGTAGATTATTACACATGTAATGTTTAATATTTCTTACGACGACTTAAGACTGTTCCCCGACGATGAATTTCGTCGGGCTGCCTCGTACCACGCTGTCTGAGTTGGCCTTAAATAGTTTACATCATTCTTAATATTAAACTCTGTCCATATTATTCAATTTTTTATAAATTTTTGTATGTCCATCCCATATATATAGTCACGAAGTGCCTATTATGGTCATGATGTGATGTCATCATGGCCATATTTAGGCATGTCACGAGTTTTATTAAATACAATGTCATGGTCTGGACGCGATTTTTTTTTCCGTACGAAACATTTGCATGAAACTTCACTCGGGCCA